TGATATTTTTTAAATCGCCACAGACACACACACACACACACACACACACGCGCGCACGCGCACGCAGAGACTCTGACAGAACCCTATTTATAATAAGGCTGGTGTAAACTAGAAAAAAACCAGGTCCCCACAAGTCATCCAGCTACTGCGTCTGCTAAAGAAACGCAGCTGAGCGAGGCCAGGAAAGCCCTCCCCATTATTGTGCTAAATTAACTTTGAGTCATTGTCAGTCATCTTTAGATTATTTCAACTTTTTAAAACTATTTGCCAGCAACATAGGTATTCAAAAATAATATATACGGTGGTGTCTGCTTTGAATTAGAGTTTAAAAAAAATCAACATCACTGAAACAGGTTCTTTAATCAAAGCATGCAGGCATTTTTTAGTTACTGTTATGATTTCTTGACCTGTGAGACTCTTAAGACCTTTCTTTTTGAGTGGCAATGTAGGGCGTCTATGGGCCACATGCCCAATGGAACAAACCCCAACTTTGAAAAGGATATAACTGAGCATAAACTATCTTACAAAGTGTAAATTGCAAGTATTTAAATCTTATTATTAAACTGGTTAATTCTAGTTATAACTTTTTAATTAGACTCTTTGGAAATGAAACTCGTGTATAGTAGGAATATTGACTTTTCATGGCAAATTGGATACCTGGCTTTCTTGTTGAATGTATGACCCATGCATTATTCTTTTAATAGGAGAAACATACATTTTGAGAGCACTTGTAATGAAAGTAACCGCTGCGCGTGTGCACATTTGTGCAAGTGCTTGTGCTGTGTCTGTGAGAGGTGGTTTGTCCAAAGTGTCGGGAAGGAGTGCGGCCTGTGTTTATGATGAATGTGTATTTGATGTTTTACTTCAAAGTCAAGTCCTTCATTCTCTTTTATTCCTTCCTTAAAGCCGTGTGACACTGGGTTTAACAGACAGAGACAGGTACAGAGCCTTTCAGTGAGATCTTTTCTCAGTAGACTCTTAGATGCGCTCATTGGCAACTTCATGCTGGGCTGTTTATAAATCTCTGCTCGTTTGCATTTTGTTTTACTAGCTGCTTCCAGCCTCTGCATGGCACTCGTTTCTGCTTCTTCAATTAATTTACCGAAGACGATAATGTCAGAGTGTAGTTGTAGTCTACTTACAGTAGAAAATGATAGTTTCATCTGGTAATCAATCTGTTTTGTTAGCTTTTACCTGGAAAAATTCTGATTTGTGTGCAGTTTGAAAGTTTATATTTAACAGCTTAAACAAACTAACATCTTCTGTATTAGTTTTCCATATTTGAGCAAACTTTTTTTTTTTTATAAACTGTGATGTATGCTGAAATTATTTGTTCTTGACTTATAACAGGTAAATTTCAAGTAAGAGTGCATGGTGGTAGATTTTAAAGTAGCATCCTTCTGTGTATCGTCAAAACAATATATTAGCTTTCCATTAAGAATTTAATTGTTGAATCTGCTTTTTCCTTCCCACATTTGTTTACTTTCTCCTTCCTTTTATGAGTTTATATCCAAAAATCATTGTTTTATGAGATTTATTTCTAAAAATTCATTTGGTTTCAAAATAACTTTGATATATGTGATTATTTTAGAAAATACCTGACAGGTAATTGCTATTTCTCCTTTATTCAAAGAAGCATATTGAGACATTTTAATTTATTGAAAAGTACCCCTTATTTTGATAAAACTCAGTTTATAAATGATCAAAACTCAGACTATAGCTTTGGAATTCAGGGATCTTACGTCTGTGTGTGTATGTGTCTTATGAAGCTGCAAAAATCATTGAGAGATAATATATACTTTCTGCATTATCCCCATGAGGCAGAAAATATATTTTAAAATAATTAATAAAATATAGCAGTTTTAAAGGATCATGAAAATAAATTATGTGGAGTTTTGTTTTGAAAGGAAGAGAGTGGTATCTTTATAAACATGTCTCTGATGCTGGGCCCTCGGCCTCTGTGACGATAAGGTGCTCTAATGTACATCCCCCTGCACCCCCAGTGCTGACAGGGGTAATTGCTTCCATTCTGTTATACTTTCCCTTTTTAGCACAATCAGAAATAGAGTTCTTTTGTGATTTAAAAAAAAAAAAATTTTTACTTTAAAATAATTTTAGATTTAAGAAAAGGCACAAAAATAGTATTCTCTCAGCGTTAACACCGTGTGTAACTGCAGTGTATTTCTTAGGAGCAGGAATCCAGATTGGCACAATACTATTAACTAAACCCCAGACTTCATTGACTATCACCGGTGTTCCTACAAATGCCCTTGCCCTGGTCCTCAAATCCAGTCGTGTCTCACTGTCATTTCTCAAGGAAATTCTCCTTAACCTCCCCCGGGCGCTCCCTGAGCCACTTACTCCTCCATCTCCCTGTCGCCCGGGCCCTGGCTCTTGGAGAACACTGGTTAGGTATTTTGCAGGCTGCCCCTCTGGGTTGTCTGCTGTTTCCTCTTGACTAGAAGGAGGTTTGCTCTGACTGGAGGACCCCAGGAGTGACGCTGTGCCCTGCAAGGGCGTCCTGTCAGAGGTCCGCCATGGCCTGGCCTCACCCTTGGTGACCCTCGCCTCACCCACGTGGCTAACGGGGCTCCTGCCAGGTTTCATCCCTGCAAAGCTTTAGTTTTCCCTTTGTGATGAATAATGATCTTGGGGGAGATACTTCAGAACTCTGCAATATCCTGTTTTTGTCCATTAATTTTAGTGTCTCTGGCATCTTGTGGACAACACTGTCACTGCGGTGTTTGCCCCATGGCCCCTTTCTACCTCCCTCTTCTCCCTTGTTGATTGGAATCCTGTAAGGGAAAGCTGTCTCTTCTTCCTCACTTGCTTACTTATTCAATTACTTACATCAGTTTGGGCTTAAGTTCATATGATCATTATTTTGGTGATCAGATGTTCATTTGTGATTTTTGAACCACGAAAACGTGAACCAGTATAAATGGATCCAAGGAAAAGAAACAGGTAGAGGAATACCAATGTTTGAAATACAGGATTAAAGATCATTTAAAAGATAAATATTTCTCAACACTAAAATATATGAGCTACTGATAGGTGCTAAACCACGGCCAAGCCTCGCAAACTTTGTACTAACTTAGAGAAGCCAGCCACACAAGGTCGCCAGCCACGTGGTTCCCGGTGCACGCCGTCAGAACAGGCAGATTTAAGACAGAAAAGAGATTCATGGTTGCCAGAGGCTGGAGTGGGTGTTGGAGGGATGGAATGTAACTGCCGGTGGTTACAGGGACTTTCTAGAGAGATGAAAATGTCCTGATTGGTGGTGGTGATGGTTTCACAACTAGGTAAATAGACTAAAAGTCACTGAACTGTGCACTTTAAATTGAAGAGTTGTATAGCATGTTAATATTTCAATAAAGCTGTCTTAAAAGAAGGAAAAGGTTAAAAAAAAAAGTCATTATTAAAAATTCTCAAAAAGCATTTTAAATTTCCAAAGTAGGTAGTGGATAATTAGCATTGTGGATGTCGGCTGTCCTCTAGGCGGGACCTAGCATCTGTGTATAGAGACGGAAGACTGAACTGTGAAAGTCCCAGTGTTTTGCTCTTAGTATTTTTGAAGCACTTGAACCTCAGACCATATAATAGGTGGCATATTTTAAATTTATATTTAATTAAAAGCAAGCTAAATTAAAGTGTTTGGTGCAGTATATTCCAAGTCATTAATTTCCAAATTTTTATGAGCTTGTCTTATACTTATAAATTTGCTAAGGCTCCCTGACTCTCATAAAATTGGTACCCAGCTGTATTTAATCCATCTCTCATTCACTAGCAATCTCTCTACTTACGAATAAATGTATGTATAAAGATGTGTGTGCATGTGCTCAGCGGTGTGTGATCCTTCCGTGTCACAGACGAGGCTCGACACTAGCTGACAGGCCGCGCTGGCGGTGCTGTGGTCTGCTTTGCCCTGAGAATGGCAGAGGCAGGAGCGGCGAGTGTAAACGCCCACAGCCTTGAGCAGGGAATTTCTACTTTTTGTTTTAAGATGAGATTGGACCGTGACGGGGAGATCATTTGGAGCATTGTCCTCTATGTAGTCGGCCTGCCTTTCTCTGTGGTGATAGTTTCTGCAAACGTTTTTAAAATAGTTGGAACAAGGAAATGAGGACGTCATAGCTTTTTCATGTTGGGGTGCTGGTCCAAATCCACCACCAACTAGCTACTTATCCTGTGGCTTTGAAGTCATAACTTTCTCTCTCTTGACCTCAGTGCCTGCATCTGTAACTGAGGAGATTTGTAGTAGGCCACATGCAAATACTTCTTTGCTTGTCACCACACTCAAAATGTTTTCCTTCTAAATAAATATTAGAATAGTTTATTATTTTGACTTCTCTTTTAAGTAAGACCACATTTTAATGGGTTGTACTTACTTTCACGTGTGTTAGGAAGTAATACTGTTGTTTTATATTTATATTTACCTGGTCACTGTATAGATTACTAAGGGAGGTTCTAGATCCCTTGGATATAAAGTCTAATCAAGTGCTGAAGGCGGTAGCTGCTGCAGACTATTAAGGTTGCTTGCGAAGACAGTTAGTTGTTTGGTGTAGGCACTTTCAAAGTTGTGTCGTAGATTCAGCTTTTGCAATATAAGCATCAGTGATGCCCCCATTTGTTTCTTTTCGTTTGAAGCCCAACACCACCCCCACCTTACCTTCCTCTTAATTGACTGCACCCTTCCCTCCTAGGCTGAGCTGTAAACATTTGAGAAGTTAGCCTAGGCTTGGTTCTTGGGAGAGTCTGTCTTAGGAAAGTGCTTTTGATCAGACTGTATCTGCTTAATGAAAGCTGCTCCTTAAGTATGGCAGTCGCTGCACCTGTGCCCGGGGCATTCCCCTTATTACACACATCCACTGTTTTCACTTGGTTTGGAAGTGTGTTAACCAGAGGGCTTCATGACGCGCCTTCATGAGTGCCGCTGGCATGTGACTGCATCTCTGGCCTCGAAGGTGATTCATACATGTGCTTTTCTGTGACTTATTTAGGGGTCAGGCTCAGCCTCGGGACCAGTGATATCACTGAATTCAATGAACGTGGATGCGATATGTGAGAAGCTGAAGCAGATCGAAGGACTAGACCAGAGCATGCTGCCCCAGTACTGTGCCACCATCAAGAAGGTGAGGCCATGCCCACTGCCCGAGGCCGGGCGAGGGCGGGGCTTGGCGCCCAGTGTGTGTGCGTGCTCGGCTGCTGCCAGAGGGGCACTCTGTGCGACAGGAAGCCTTCCATGGACACATGCACCCCAAATCGCCCCATTCACCCATAGCATATAAGTGGGTAAAAGAAAAAGTGGCTGTGTGACTGTGTGATTTGAAAAAATGCCTTAATGTAAGTGAAAGGTGCTGTGATGAGAAATACAAACCAGGGGCTTCACCTTAGAGAAACGGTAAAACTCCCATTTCCAGGTTACAGCATTGAACCCAAAGGCCTCTTATGTCACATTTTCTTTAATTGTAAAATTATTTGTGACTTAGCAATTACCTAAGTAAAGCAGCCTTCTTTTCCCCCAAATTTTCACTTTCTTGTCTTATATATACATATATCTTAGGAGTTATGATTGTGTTCCTTTTGCTGAAACTTCCTTGCCAACATGTCTGAGGTGCTTTATTTCTCTCTAGATCTTATTCTTGCGATGCTAGTAACTTCCAAGAAGTTGGACAGAGATGCCTGGGGCTGTGAGGAACCTTTCCCTGTCCGAGTCTAACGGCTACAGTAGATATTTCCACTCAGTTACACTTTTCCTACTACAGTCAAGGAGAGTAACAGGCCTCTCATGTTACATAAAGAGTGGTGTCTGGAGCTTTCAAAGAATTATGAGTAGATAGAGGTGCCATTTGACTAATCTTAACCTACACTTAGTCAGAAGGGTTTCAGATAACGCCCTTTTCTTTACAGATCTGGTTAGTGGTCATCCTGTTTGCAAAGGGGCAAGCACTGTCTCTCCCACGCACAAACCCAGCTCCTCCTGGCAGCCTGGCTGCTGTCAGCAAAGAGTGAGGCTCCCGGTAGGACCCCTCCGTGGCAGTGTCTCCGTCAGCACAGCCTCTGCTGCCCACTCAGCCCTTTGTTCCCAGCCCGACTTTCTGAGCCCCTGTAACAGCCGCTCCCTGCTGCGGCCAACCTGCCCGCACTCCCCGGCAGGACCTCTGTCACGGCTGCTCCGCTCATTCTCCTTCAGAATTCACTTGGAAGCTGAACATTCTGCTGATTTTAAACACTGGTATTCAACAGTTTTCCCACGGTTAATAAAATCAGATTTTGTATTTTGTAAAATCAGTCAACTGCCTGTTATTGCAAAGAAAATTCCAGTGTTTCTATGTGGGGGAAACTAGAAATACAGAGACTTGATAGTGATACGGTATTTTTTGTGAGTTAATAGACTAGGAGATTAGCAGGCAGACATCCTCTCGGGAAGTCGTCCAATGTAAGTGACACACTCCAGGGCCTGCTCGTTTGCACGTCCTGGCGCGAGGGCACACACTGCCAGCCCCTCACACTCATGCGTGTCTGTCACAAGGGTGCAGGCGCAAACTCACAGTTTTGTTATTGCTCATGACAGAGTAGGTGGGTTTGGAGGTAGCTGGGAGGGTTAGCTCTTGGGTTGCTTCCCGAAGAGTGATTTGCTCACTTTGAAGGTTTAAGATACTTTAGAAACTGTCTTGGCTTTCGGCAGCGGCTTATGTTCAAATTCAGTTTGTTTATTATATTATTACGTGGCATGATGACCTGTATTACCTTAATATTTTCTAGTCTCTGATAACTTTTTAAAAACTAAATGTAAAGGTACTTTTTAATCACCAATAATTCAGAATATCTCACCTTCTGTTTGTCTTCCTCCTTGTTTTTCCTTCCGTTCAGGCAAACATAAACGGTCGTGTGTTAGCTCAGTGCAACATTGATGAACTGAAGAAAGAGATGAACATGAATTTTGGAGACTGGCACCTTTTCAGAAGCACAGTAAGAGATTTTGTATTTATAGCTTGATTTACAACCTGACGTAGGGCAAGTTCCAGTGAGTACTCGTCTAAACCAGTGTTTTTCTGTATTTTAAAAAACACGTTGAACTGCAGTTTGCACTCGTGTGCGAGCCGCGTGTGCTGGTGCATGAATAGCCACAGCCGCGCTTGGCAGCCTTTGCCTTTTGGGCATTCAGCTTAGCGCTTTGGGAGGAGGCGACCCACCAGTTCCCGTGCCTTCGTGACAAGGACTTGCTGGTCCCCTGACCGCAGTCGGGTGCTGCGGCCTTGACGTCGGTGTCTGTCCTCGTCAGGCCTGCATGACTGGTGTTAGCGAGTCATGTTACATCAGTCCTGGCGTCTGATAACCCGATCGGCTTCCTCATTCCCCACTGTCCCCGCGTCGTCTGACCGCCTGGCCCGGCCCAGCCGGATCCCCTTACCTGTTTCTTAGCGATTTTCCAACAACTACCCCGCCTGCTCGGGGACTGTCGATGCCCGTCTGCCCACGCTGCCCTGGGCTTGGGCACTTCTCGTCCTCTCTTCTCCTGCTGCTGCAGTTCCTGCTGGAAACCTGCCTTCATGCTTCCGCCGCGGTCCTGCGCGGGTTTCCCTCCTGTGGCGTTTTGCTCTGGTCTAAAGTTAAATCCTAAACTTAAGTAGTTACATTGTGGTCCAAGGAGAGTTATGTGTATGTAACTACATATATGATTATTGTCGTTCTCTTAATAGTTAAAATGAAAGATAAGCAGATAAAGTACAAGTTCATTTCCAAGAAGTCTGCGTTCTCATTGCCATTATAATAACCTAATAACCTGTGAAATACTTTCTAAAGTTTCCGAAACGTAATTTGTCGGTGTGGCTAGCAGTGCTGTTTTCGTCTTCTGTTAAGGTGCTCGAAATGAGAAATGCAGAAAACCAAGTGGCCCCTGAGGACCCACGTTTGCTCAGTGAGAACAACAGCGGCCCAGCCCCTCATGGCGAATCTGCTCGCCATTCTTCACATGAGTTGCCGCACACCGAGCTCTCCAGTCAGACTCCCTACACACTGAACTTCAGCTTTGAAGAACTGAACACACTGGGCCTGGATGAAGGCGCCCCACGTCACAGCAATCTCAGTTGGCAGGTGCTTATTAAATGTCATTTTTTCATAGTACATGAGCATAGGTCTGTTCTTAAGTCATCGTTGATGAGGCCTTTCCATAGTCATTCAGAAAATATTTCACGGGCACCAAAAGGAACAATGTCGAGCATGCATGGCTCTCTAGGGGCGTACTCCTTTGGAGAGGACATTCTGTAAAAACAAAAAAATAAGATTATTTCCAAAATTAATAAGAACTGAAAATAATAAAGCAGGTGATGGGGAACTCAGACCAGGGCCACCTTAGGTAGTAGTGTGCTGGCCAAGCTTAGCCTCTTCTTGCTGCTTTCTTATTTAAATCCATTAATTGTTGGCTAAACTACATCTTTATGGGAAAACTTGCCATAGAGTATCCCTTTGAGCACCATAACTTGGCTTCTCAGCATCTAAGCATACTGTTCATGAACATTCGTTTCCTTTTTATCACCTGATGTTGGATATGGACAGTTGCTTCTTTGGAGGGAGGGCCAGTGAGGATGAAGAATAAAAGCAAGTTAGAGACATGCATGAGAAAGAGTGATGGGAGAAGAAGAAGCAAATAAACGAGGAAAACCAGTGCGGGATATATAGAGAGAAAACACCAGTGAGGGAGGGGACACAGGAAGTGGCTGCACAGAAACTCCACTTCGGGAGTGGCTGTGGGGGCCACGCCTGGCGGGCTGTGGGTAGTAAAAATGTTTCTTTTGTCGTTATCTTTTTCTGCATAGTACCTACCTTGTTTTCTTAAGTTGGGAAACCATTTTGTACTGTTTTAAGAACAGCGCTTCATTTCTTTCCCCTGCTATTCCTTTTAACATTTCTTGAGAAACCTTCATCCTCAGCTTTTCCATTTGGTATTCTGCAGTGGCCTGAAAACAGCCTTTCCATGAAAGCCGTGGTTCTCTGCGTTGTTTTAAATCTCAGAACCCCTTTATACTCTTAAAAACTATTGAAGGCTCAAGGGAGCTTTTGCTTATGCAAATTTTATATGTCAATCCTTATTATAAATAAAAATAGAGCTTTTAAAAATATTTATCAGTTTATTAAAATAAATTACATTAATATAAATAGCATGTTGGTGAAAAATGACAGTATTTTCCAGAACGCAGCAAAATTAAGTATTGTTTTGCACATCCCTCTAGTGAAGAGAGTTAGATTCCTGTCTCTGCCTCTGTCTTAAGTCTGCTGTGCTCTCACAGTGGACACTGTGGTGAGAGTGGCAGCGCCAAGGCAGTTGACATCACCTACTCCTCTGAGAGTGGCTGGGGCCCGCTGGGCCCACCAGGGAGGTGTGCCCGCAAGGGTCGGTCCAGGTGCGGGGCCTTCGCCCGGCGGGCCTGTCCTCCCTGTGGAGGGCAGAGTCAGCCGCATTTCTGCCGCTTCGTTTTAGCTTTTGCTTTTGTCTCTTTTTTTTTCTCTTTCCTTATCTGTACTGTTGCTTGCCATTTATTAGCTATGGGGCATGTAGAAGAATTCTAATCCTGAAACTTCACATTAGTCATGCAACTTTTATAAATGTTTCCTGTATTTACCAGCACCTGACTCTTGGTCTCAAGGCTTCCGTTTCTGTCATTCAGACCCTGTGCTTACCTTTCACTTTGTTCTTGCTGCTTAAATTTTTTTTTTTTTGTTTGTACTTTGAGTATATTTTCTTACTGTGATTTGAAATTGGACAGAAACGTCCTATCGTACAAATTGAGAAAGGTTATTTTTAACACTTGTTGAAGACGTGAGTGTTTTTGTTTGAGATATCTCTTAACGCCCATCTTCTTTCTCTTTTCTAAGAGAAATTACTATTTTATCAATACAGTGACTTTCACCCTAAAGTTAAAAGTTTTAAGTTATAAAAACAAGCTAAGATTACATGTTCATGCAACATTTAATTATACTTTTAGCTATTAACAGTAAACTCATTTTATAATAATTTGTATAAAGCTTTCTAATAACAGTTAAAATTACTCATAAGTTCACAGTTTTTGTTAACTGTGTTAGGCAGAAGTCTTTGAAAATAATTTAGTTTTTTGTTGACTTTAAACATTTGTAGTATATATTTATATCTCCTAAACTGTTGTTTATTACGCCTTTTTTTGTTTTGCTTACTTGAATTTTTCAATTTTTTTTCTCTCTCCACAGTCACAAACTCGCCGAACCCCAAGTCTTTCGAGTCTCAATTCCCAGGATTCCAGTATTGAAATCTCAAAGCTTACCGACAAGGTGCAGGCTGAGTACAGGGATGCCTATCGAGAGTACATTGCTCAGATGTCTCAGTTAGAAGGGGGCACGGGCCCCGTGACCATTAGTGGCAGATCGTCTCCACATGGCACATACTACATGGGCCAGAGTGCATCAGGGGGCTCCATTCATTCTAACCTAGAACCAGAAAAGGGGAAAGATAGTGACCCAAAGCCAGACGAGGGAAGGAAGTCATTTTTAATGAAGAGGGGAGATGTCGTAGATTATTCATCATCAGGGGTTTCCACTAGTGAGGCCTCACCCCTGGATCCCATCACTGAAGAAGATGAAAAGTCTGACCAGTCAGGCAGTAAGCTGCTGCCAGGCAAGAAATCCTCAGAAAGGTCAAGTCTCTTCCAGACAGATTTGAAGCTCAAGGGAGGTGGACTGCGCTACCAGAAACTTCCGAGTGATGAAGACGAATCTGGGACCGAAGAATCGGATAATACTCCACTGCTCAAAGATGACAAAGATAGAAAAGCTGAAGGGAAGGTAGAAAGAGTGTTGAAGTCTCCGGAACACAGTGCTGAGCCCATCAGAACCTTCATCAAAGCCAAAGAGTACTTATCCGATGCCCTCCTGGACAAGAAGGACTCGTCTGACTCAGGAGTGAGGTCCAACGAAAGTTCTCCCAATCACTCTCTTCACAATGAAGCGGCTGACGGGTCCCAGCTTGAGAAGGCAAATCTCATCGAACTTGAAGATGACAGCCACGGCGGGAAACGGGGGATACCACATAGCTTGAGCGGCCTGCAAGATCCAATTATAGCCCGCATGTCCATCTGCTCCGAAGACAAGAAGAGCCCTTCCGAGTGCAGCTTGATCGCGAGCAGCCCTGAAGAAAACTGGCCAGCGTGCCAGAAAGCCTACAATCTGAACCGGACGCCCAGCACCGTGACTCTGAACAACAACAGCGCCCCAGCCAACAGAGCCAATCAGAATTTCGACGAAATGGAGGGAATTAGGGAGACTTCCCAAGTCATCCTGAGGCCTGGTTCCAGTTCCAACCCCACTGCGATTCAGAATGAAAACCTGAAGAGCATGACGCACAAGCGAAGCCAGCGTTCCAGCTACACGCGGCTCTCGAAGGATTCTGCCGAGCTCCACGCAGTCGCCTCTTCTGATAGCACAGGTTTTGGAGAAGAGAGAGAGAGCATTCTTTAGGACGTCGAGCAAAAGCAGAATGGTGTTACTGTGCCATCGTGAACGCAGTCGACCTGGGTTTTATAGCAAATCTGTCCGCATATCGTCTCTGTGCATCTCGCCTCACGCAGTGGATGCTCGGGAGGCCTCGGGTGAGGAGACACGCAGTGTCCAGTGAGGAGAGGGTGAGAGAGGGCGAGCGGCTGTCACACCTCCTTCTCTGTGATCAGGAGACTGCACCTCACGACTGCTGCTACCCCTTTCGTCAGGAGATGGCCCCATGAAATTATTTGAGATAAGACTTGAGTGTAAAGATAGGTCTGACGCATTTCATTATATGTAAAAGGCTTAGTTTGCCAAAGAAAATGAAAGGCTAGAGATCCCTTTTGTAGGCCACTCATTCATCAGATATTTGAGGAACGATGCAGCATTAGATGAACTGGAAGCATATTTTGATTTTATGGGGTAAAAAGAAAAGATTTACAGCTTCTGGGGTTGCCCGGAGACTAAAGGTAAAAACTGTATAAATTGAAAACCAGTGTCTGTCTAATAGGCAGACTGAGTACAGACTTTACATTTTACATCGAAAATAGATAACAAAGAGGGCTTAACCCTTGATAAAGTGAGTGAACAGTACTCGAGTAGAGCCCCGATCGCTGGCCACACGGATTGTGGAGTGTGGCTGCTCTGCGCCCGCATGCTCTTCTCCCCAGCCCCAGTCCTGGCTTCGGGCACCACCTGCGGCCGAAGGACGGCCCCCCCCACCCCCCACTGGGCCTCCCAGCGGCTGTCATGTTGAGCCTAGCAATGAGAGGAAAAACCCAAACTTATCTTCTGGAAAATCAAGGTGATGTGGGTAATAAAAGACACTAATAAATAAGTGAATGAGGAAATAATTACATCAAAAAGGTCAGTGACAGCTGAGAGATGACAAAGGAATCTTTAATTAGGTGACTCTAATAAATCATTGCCTTCCATAGCAGGGCAGAGCTTGCTTGCTTTGTTCCTGAATTGGATGCTGAGTCTTCCCATGGTCCTCATAAGGAGGTACTTCTAAGAGTTTAGAAACATGTAACAGAAAAGGGTAAAGGAAGATAAAACCTATGCGACTTCCCATTCACGGTCAGCAGAGTTGACGGTCACCTGTAGTGCGTGTGACCAGGACCCACCCTGCTGTCTCGTGTGTGTAGGGTTAGCTACAGAGTACGCTCTCCGCCAGTCAAGGCTGCAGATGGTAAACCTGCAGATGTGTAATTACCTGAATTTAGTGTTTGCCATGTGATGAGTACCACAATGAATTTTTATTAATTTGCTTAATAAATTCTTTACTTGACCAGTCTTGCACTTAACAGTTGGCTCTCAGTTTTATGGCCTCAGTGGTAGCGTGTAATGTAGCCGTGTAGAGTGTCCGTCTTGCATGACTTGAACAAATGTTTTAACCAATTAGGAAAAAAGGCAGGATGTTACCACCATCATATATTGAAGTGTTAACATTTTACTCTTTATAGTGTTCAGCAGTTTGCAATATTATGTAATTAGTAATTCAGAGACAATGTTTTGTTCCTTTTCAGGTGAGTAGATGCAACTTACTGTTGTAGTACATTCTTTACACTGTTTGTGAAGTTGATCCTCGAGTATAAAGTGTATTCATACTCCATTAAAGTAGTAAGATATCGAAAACAATAAAAAAATTGCATGCTATTTTGACTCATGAATTTTTATTCACTACGGTGGTAATGGTTCACATATTAATTAAATATTAAACACCAATTTATGTGTTTGCTTTGTCATCTCGGAGAGTTTGTTGAAGACCTCCAGGCTCGCGTAGCGCCAGAGCAGTCTGCGCTGCCACCACTGGCCTTTTCAAGAAAGCTTGGCTCTTGCGGCCCAGGACCTGGTGGGGGCACAGCAGCACCCTCTGTCCCGGGCACTGTGGCGACAGGAAGCAGGCTATCCAGCTCCTGGGAGGATCTCGATTAAGTTATTATATGAAGAGTCAGGAAAAGTTTGTTTTTTCATACTGTTACAGAAATTGACAAACCAGATGGGTTATTGAGTCACACGTCGTCCTTTTGAATCTGTGTGTGTGTTTTATCTAAATATATAACTCGGTCTGATCTCACATATGCAAAACTCGGCTTTAAGCTGGGTGAAAAATGATAGAAAAGAAAGTTGGAGCTCTAAATTTTCTAGTCTCTTCATAATTCAGTCTTTACATATTTTATAACCATTTCACCTTCCTTCACTTTACGCCGCAGAGAGTTCTGTTCACGCAGCAGAACATTGAGCCAGGTTGACTCCTGGGACGTGTGGGGTGCGCCGAGCCTCAGCCTTTCTGCAGAGCAGCATGAAGGGCAGGGCAGCTTCCCCGAGCTGCTTGTTTAGGGGCACCTCTCGGATCCCGGGGATCTCCAGCATTCGTAACCAAACCAATATTTTCTCAATGTTAGCAAGAAATTTGTTTTCGTGTTATATTTTACTTATTTAAATCTTACATAGTCATCTGAATAATTTTAATTGCCTAGCCAAGTAACTAGGTCCCCTTAACTCACAGGTGAGTGACATTGAGGGGATGGGCAGGTAAAAGGGAGCATGCGCCAAAACTAATTTGGCAAGCTCTTGGGACAGAATATTGGGGCTCCTTTCTCCCCAGCCTGCCTTTCTAGAGTGTGCAGATGCTTCATGCAAGGGAAGAAGCCGGGGAGAGGCATTTGCCTGGAGTAGGGGTGGAGGCTGGTGGGCGTGGTGGGCTATCGGAAATGATTGCATTTTTGATTTCCAGGTTGTGGTCTCCCTTCCTTCCCTACCCTAGAATTTTAATCATGGGCTGCAAACAAAAGCTAGAACAATGTGTGACAGTGAGCCAGCCCTGGATGGCTGCTCAGTGGCTCATCCCGAGAAAGGTTAAGAATCCTTGGTTGACACTGATTAGCTCGAAAGAGAACTTAAAATCTTACATAATTTTAAACCCTTTCATGCCTAGGGAGAAAATGCTGCCCTTGAGACAGACAAACCTGCAGAGGACCCAGTTTAAGGTATGTAAAAAATGAGTCAGCAGTTTGACGCCAACTGTTGAAAGCAGATCCCCAATTAGAGAATTCGTATCCCACCGCTTTAAGGAGTAGAGTGCGCCGAGAACCCGCTAGAACCATCCCTTGAAGTTAGTTGCCACGGCCTACATCAGCAAAGCTTTTCTGGGCCAATGTCTGGCGAAGCACGGCCCTGGTGGACGTGGTGGTCCTCCCTGGCCGGGTCTCCGCAGAGCAAGGTCTCAGAACGCGGCTCCCTGGAAGGCAGAGCAGAAACACCGAGTGGGCCCGGGCGGCTGCGGGAGGGGCTGGCTCCGGGTGCCCAGGCACGGCGAGGCGCTCAGAACCAGAAGGATGCAGCGGAATGAAGGGCCAGTCAACACAGAAACAATTATTGCCAAGCTCTTAGTAGGATGTGGCTTTCAAAGTCAATAAAATGTCAGGGATTTGGCTTATCTGCGGTGAAGACCAACACGATTGGTGAAAACACAGATTACCTAATATTGTCCATACAGACAGTGTGACTTTAAAGCAGGCGGCTCTGCCGGCCTGTGGCTGTCATCAGCCATCCCGTTTACACCTCGTAAGCCTTCATTTCCTGAGGCTAGTGTGCGTTTTGGCGGGCACCCTCACTGCTGATTCGTGTTAGGGGCGCTTTCTAAGTTGTGCTGGAATTTAATGAACCATGAAAAAAAAAAAAAGGATTATTAGGACTTGAATAAATGAAATTATACTTAAAAATATAGAACTGCGGCTACTGGGAACTAGGGGTGGAGTTGAGCAGCTCCATATAACTGAAGTTTTCAAGCTAATTTATACAACAGGGATTTGGTCTCAAGAAGAAGTTTTAGGGCCTCCCTGGTGGCTCAAGGGGTTAAGACGCAGCACTATGATGCAATCCATAGCCACTGGAGCAGGAGTTCAATCCCTGGCCAGGGAGCTACCTGCATGGTGCAGCAGACCTCTCCTGTCTCCCCGCTGCTCCCCTCAGCAGTGGATTTCAGTAGATCCACCTGTTCTGTTCCCCCTTCTGCCTCCGGTTCTGGCCTGTACCCCAGTTCTTGTATGCATAAATAAGCAAATCTTTAAAAAAAACCATAGAACTGTAAGCTCCACGATCATCTCCTAATTTTAACCCTCTGCCCTCTCCACCTCATTTCCTCTCAAGGCAGCAGGGGCACTAGGTCACAGTTCCCACCCACAGCCCACTCCTCCCACCGCTGATGGACTTCCTCGCCCACAGAGGTGAAGAAGATTCGGCTGGCCCTTCAGCCATCCTGCCGGCCACTTGGCTGGAGAAGAGATCTGTTCACCACAATGGTTTCCTTTGGTTCTTATTAGTAATTGTAAATATGAATTAGTTTTAACAAAATGTACCTTTTTATAAAATTTTAGACCAAGATGTTTAGTAAGAAAGCATGTTGGACTATCTAACCTGGCTTTCTATCTACCATCTCTGTGATCAGATGTCTATAAGAAAAAGTTAATCTGTAACTTTCAAAATTATCAGTTTTCTTGACAGGTGCAGTGTTTTAGCTGTATTTCTGCAAATTTATAGAATGCATACTGTTATATTTAAATCTAAATTAAATGTTTTCCTTTTTAAAGAAATTATTTTCTTTGTGTTCCTCCCTTACCTGAATTCTTGCCATTCTTTTTTATGTCTTAAGATCTTTTTTAAGTTGTATGTGCTCATCCTACTGGACCACAAAGCATTCTTTAGCATGACTGAGTGAGACAGAACCTCTCGACAGCTTTCAGGCCTAATTTCAGGTCACTGACACTCCCTGGGGCCTGGCAGTGCTCACTGAGTGAATGAAGTGCACCCACCAGGGGAGCGTGTCTTGGTGTCTTGAAAGGACACACTTGGTGTCTTGAAAGGACTTCTTACAGCTGATGGCATCAAAGGCAGCACTTCTCCCTCAGTGGCCCTGCAGAAGCCACATGTTCCCATCCTCGTGCTGGGCTGGAGGGGACAGGAGGTGTGGACACGCGGCGGTCGGTATCACTATGCAGCTATTATTTTTAAAAAGCTTCTATTTATTGGGCCTCCCCGGTGATGAAGTGGGTTGAGCGCTGCACTGTGAAGCTGTCCACAGCCTCTGTTGCATGGGTTCCATCCCCGGCCAGGGAGATTCCCACATGGCGAGCAGACCTCTCCTGTCTCACCCGCTGCTCCCCTCAGCAGTGTGTTTCGTCAGTCTGCCTGTTCTGTTCCCCGCTCTGTCTCTGGTGGATCCTCTCACCCTCCCGTGCATCTGGCCTATACTCCAGCTCTTGTATAAATAAATAAATCTTTAAAGAAAAAAAGAGGGCAAAAAGTAGAATTAAAAAAGAAAAGCTTCTATTTATTGAAGCTTATGTTCCTGACAATGTTCTAAGACCTCCACACGTGTTAGCTAATTTAATCTTCAAAACAACTTCATGGAGTAGTTACTGTTACCCTCAATTTACAAATAAGAAACAGAGAGGTTAAGGATCTTCCCAAGGTCACACAGCCACTGAGCGGTAGAGCCAGGATTCAGAGGCGGTGGCCGCCCCATGCCCACTCTCCTGGTTAGGGTCCTTTATTGGTCTTTAGCTGGTTAGGGACGAGTCAATGGTTACACTTTTCCCAGATATTTTCATTTTAGAGGTATTTGTTGTATCATCATGATCATCTGCTTGCTTTCAAATAGGACAGGGTCACTCAAAGGGCTATCAGTTTAAGAAAGTTCTTTAAAAAAAAATCTATAGCCATGTGAATTATATTATTAGAGCTGAGACCCCAAGAGAGGCGAGAGAGCACCCCAGAGATAGCCCAGGGGAAGAGCTGAGACTGACCACAAGCAAGGAGAGTCCTTTTGTGCCTTGTGCAGAGGCCACTGCCACACCAGGGCAGGGTGGGGGCCGGGGGAGGGCTGGCTTGACCTCTGAAGTTCAAGAGTTACACTTGAACTCAGGATGTGGCAAGTGAGCAGAACTTATTACCGGAAGAGCTGCAATAGGTTAAAACAAACACTGGACCTCAAAGATTGTGGATAAATTGAATGATAAGTGATGAAGAATGTTCTCGTCTAACTTACAGGAGAGTCCTGAACTTTGCAATACAGAGAGCACCAGTGTCTCCAAGGAGAGCTCAAAGGACCCCAGTCTGGCACCCCTAATTTGTAACTATAATATTGCACTCTTGTTTTCCAGCATACTGAGGCTTGTTCTGACGTGCAGAACCTCAAAATTGTCTAAATTAATCTTGTCCTAACAGCCTAAAAAAGTAATTTTAGTCGGGATTGGCTTAAAAAATGAATCGATCATTAGTTGGAGAAAGAATATAAAGATGCGAAACAAAATGTCCATGTAAAGTGTAAATGCATAATGACATGTACTGGTTGTGTGTCACACTATTCTAGAACCCCTGTGCTCCTCCTGCTCCCCCCGCCTCCTACCCACGCATGCGTTCACTTCCCCACTGCTGGCCTCCCGGGCAGAGAGAATCATGGAGAGCCTGGCGGAGCCGATCACCTCCTCGCTGCTGGGGCCCAGAGGGCAGCGCCATGGCCTTCCTGACATCATACGACATCATACAAGTGTCGGGGCTTCTTGGGGGGCAGGATTCGGTCTCTCCTGACAATATTTGAAGTCACGTAGATATTATCCTCCCGCGTGGAAACCTTCAATAGCCTTTTAGTATGTAACTGCCTCCTTTTCTCCCAGGATGATTTTCACTTAGTTGGAAAATGTCAGTTAAAATTTACACCCTTACTATAGTGAAAAAGATGTAAAAAATAGAAGTGGCTTTCTTTGCCGCCCCTGTCACCATCTCTCTTGCATATGGCTTCCAAGAAGAGGTTTTTTTCCCTCTTCCATTTCACGGATGATTTGGCTATGGGATCTCAGAAAACTTGGGCTCTTGCCTATAACTAAGAATATAAAGGCCTTACACAGAAAATGTTGAAGTGTATAAAAATCTTCGATATATACTATTTTCAGATTGCATATCAACATAAGATTTAGGATTCAAGTCCCTCGTCTTTATCTCTGGATGTGACACAAAAGCGACCATCTTCTTGTGTAAGAATGTGAGGAAACTGCCAAGGGCCAAGTCGAACAGTTCCAGAATTTGTGCCCTTTTGTCTACCTCAACCGATCACTGGGTTTGGGTGGCACCTTCGACAGTGAGACTGAGGAACACTATCGATTATATAAGATAGGCTTCCGGTAATCGATATCTCCCCTGAGGCCAGCTGTGCATCCATTAGAGTGAGGACAGGCCAAGAGGCAGGGCCGGAGCAGGAAGAATCCCTAACTGTTTTCTTTGGCTATCATACCTGGAGCTCATTTCCCCTCAGCACTCCATCTGCTTCTAGAAGAATCTTTACAACTCCAAAATATTTAACAGTGTGTCTCTCTCTCTCTCCCTCCCTTCATCATCTGGCCACCTACCTACCTACCTACCTTCCTACCTACCTACCTTTCTTTCCTTATGCCAACGTTATCCCTGTCATCACACAAGTGGAAATACTCTGACCTCAGTTCGAGGTTCTGTCAACAGGTATCTCAATCCACAGGAGTAATAGTTGGGAAAAGTAAATGATTTCACGAGTGATGATCTTCTGTGAGGGCGGCTCCATAATATGATATTTTTTTCTTGGGTAAAAACCCAAGTTACTTGTGGTCTACTTAGTTTGAAATATATGGGCTTTGACTAAAAAAGACCCACATAAATCCATGACATCTAGACGCCCAGCCCCTGGAGAAAGTGCCAGCGTCATTCCTAAGTGGAGAGTTTTAGTGACAAAGCAAGAAATGCCTGGCTTTGGAGTTACGTGGCCAAAATTATCCCTGCCATTTCCACCAAATGTTTCCCAAGGCCTTCTAAAATGGGGCCTGCAGTGGGAAGTCAGTCATTTTTAAAAGGCGTTTCTTGCTTGCTGGTGGGATGGATGGGGTGTGGCTGCTGCTCATCATGATCGGCTCCTTTACTATTTCCAACAGCAGCGGAGGGAGCAGGACCCCCGCGCTGGCCCCGGCCGGCCCCCCTCACGACCCCAGGTCTTCCCAGCAAGGCGGGCGGAGCCGGCTCCAAGATGGCCGCGCGAGGCCGCCTCCCGGGGCCGCCGCCCCGACGCCCTCTCGTTGCACCAGGCCTGGCCGGTGACTGAAAGTGGGGGGTGGTCACGCCCCAGCCTGGGTTGCACAGGACGGCAGCTCTGGTCTTGGGGTTCTCTCTCTGCCTCCCTCTGGGGAGCCAGTCGCCATGTTGTCAAGGGCCGTCGGACCTTGGCCCGGCGGTTGGGGAGCAACGGCGGCGGCAGCCGGCTCCCCCGGGGCGCGGCGCGGGGCCTTCGGCCGAGAGAACCCCAGCCACAGGCACCCCACAAGCCCTCGCGGCCCCGGCCCCTCAGGAGCCGGCGTCTCCCCGCGGGCGCGGCCTTCCCGCCACCGAGGGCCCGCGAGCCCGTCAGGGAAGGAAAGCGGGGGCAGGCGCCGCCCCAGCGAGGCCGGGGCGCTCCGGGCGCCCCGAAGGAGGCCCGGCCCTCGGCCTGTGCGCGCGCCCCCTGCTGGCCCCGCTCCTCAGGCCGCACCCGCCGCGGGGGGTCGGGGCAGCCGCGGGCCTGGCCTGGCCACTCCCGCCCCCGCTGGCCGCGGCTCCGGGGGACCCGCTCAGAGGGCGTCGGGCCGCGTCCCGGGGGAGAGAAATCCGTAGAAGGGGAAAGGGAAAAGCAGCCTGGGGACCCCTCGGACCCCTCGGTGGACGGGGGCCTCTCCGCGCGGGTGGGGGGGAGCTGCCGCCCCCGCCCGGGCGAGGCGTCCTCACCGTCCGGCCGCGCCCGCGGGCCCCCGGGGCAGCCGCGTCCCCGCGCGGAGAAGCCGCCCGCGAGAGGGACATTCTGTCTGCAGCGAGCACGCCGGGGGCGCGGGGGCCCGCCCCGTCGGGGGACGGAGGGGGCGCGCGGCCCTGGCGTCCAGGGCCCGTCTTTGGGGTACAGGTGCCTCGGCCGGCCTGGCCTTTGGCGCGCGCCCTCGGGGGTGCGGGGAGACGAGGGCGTCCTGCCGTTCGCTGGCAGGGCCGGCGGAGCCCGGGCGTCTCTGTCCTTCGCCCGTGTTGCAGGAATGTCCTCTGTGCCCTCGGGGTGGATCCAGCTACACAGAAGTCACAGGAACTGAAACCAAACTTAGGGAGCCCGGAGATCCCACGGGGGTTCCCCCAGGTCAGCAGCCTCGGGTGGGCCCTGAACACCCTCTTCTTACTCACAGCTCTTCCTTAAACTCTGAAATCTTTTCAGTCTCGACAGAACCTTCGTCCGGAAAGACACCAGCGGCCGCCCGGCGCCTCTCCAGCCGCGGGGAGCACCAGGAACCTGGAGGGTCAGGTGAGGGGGGCCCCACCAATTGGTGGTGCGCCTTGTGGAGAGCCTCCTGAAGATCTGCCCGTGGGCTGAAAGAAAAAAAGCTCCACAAAAGAGTTTCTTTTGACAAGCTGCCGTTTTTAGATCCTCCACCAGCCTGGGAGCACCCCCTGCGCCCCCCAGAACCCTGGGCCGAGCCGGCTGCTGTGCACCTGTGCTCACTCTCGGCTGGTCCCCGCCTGCCGCTGAGGCTTTAGCTGTGACTTTGAGAACTAAAATTAAATCTAAACTAGCCCGCTTAGCGATGGTTTGAGGTTAGCATGACCTCGACTCCAGAGCCAGATAGAGACGGCGCAGGCCGGAGCCGGCAGCTCCAGCTCATGCTCGGAAACGCCAGGCAACGCGCCGGCCGGCGGCCTGGGCCAGGCCCAGAGGACGCCGAGCGGGCTGCGTGGGGGGGGGAGCTGCCGCGCACACCGAGGCCGCCCCGCTCAGGGCCCGCGCGCCCCGCTCGCTCGCTCGAGGAAGCACCGGCAAGAACAGCCGAGGCAGCGGCCAGGTCGCTCCCACGTCAGGACCTCAGAGTCTCGGGGACCAGCCCCCGGCAGGCTCCTGGAAGCTGGCGAGGACTCAGACGCCCCAGACCCGGCCGGGGAGAGGCAGGAGTGGGGTGACCTCAGCAAGGACGGCCAGGCTCGCCCCTGTTTCTTTCAAGTCCCACCCAGGGGCCCGGGTGAACGTGACGCGGAGTTTGGAAACAACTGGAGGAACTGAGGAGAGTGGCCGGAGGGCTCATCCTGCGCTTCCACGCAGCGCGCGGAGGTGCCAGCGGGCACGGGGGTGCCGCTCAAGCCGGGGTGCGCACCGGGCGAGATGCGCGCGCGGGAGCCCGCGCGCCTGCAGAGGCCGCCTGGGCCGGCCCGGCCGCCCGCCCGCGGGCCTGGCCTCCCTGCGGCGCCCGCCCGGCCCCGCGGCCCCGCGCCTGCCCGGCGCGGCCGGCAGGTGGCGCTCGGCCTCCACCGCGCGCCCGGCTCGCGGCGAGGAGCCTCGGGGCGCTGGGCCTGCGCGCGGCGCCTGCTGGGGGCCCGGAGGCCGCGCAGGTGCGCCTCGGGCCGGCCCCCTGCGCGCTGCCCCGGAAAGCGCAGGGGCCCCTGCCGCGGACCCTCCGTCGGTGTTGGCGCTGCCCCGCCGGACCTGCCCTGGCGCTCCACGCCCCGATGGCCGGGCGGCCGCGCAGGTGCCCGTCGTGCAGGGCAGCGGGGGCCGGGGCCGGGGCCGGGGCCGGGGCGGCAGGGGACAGGCCCGGAGGGCGGCCTGAGCCGGGGCCCACCCAGCCCGGGTGCCCCAGCCAGGGGGCAGGGGGCGGGGGGCATGGCCAGTGCCAACCACCACCCCTGGGGCTGCGCCCAGAGCGGGGCGCGGGCCGCCTGCGGGCGCCGTGGTGGGGTGCAGGCGGCGCCCAGGGAGGGCATGACTGGCGGGGATGCTGGGGTGGGGGGCAGGCCTCCCCCTTAGCGCCTCACCCCCCCCCCCCAGCAGTGACGGGGCCGGACCAGCCTGGCGGCCTCGCGCCCTCCCGCGCCGGAGGCGATGTCTTGGAGACCCGGGACAGGCCGCCGCAGGGGCCGACTCCCGCGCCCCCCGAGCACCTGCTGGAGCGGCCCCAGGTGAGACACCTACCCGCCCCTCCCTGCCCCTTCTCCGGGCCCTCAGCCGCCGACCAGCCGTCGGGCCACTGGCGCCCGCCCCCCCAGGAGGAAGTGTCCTCCAGCTGGAGGACATGCTGTAAACATGACACACAGGAATTTTAAACAGGTGCCTGCATTAACTGCTTTGCACTGGGTTCAGACGTCACCGGGGCTGCCAGGGCTACTTCTGTGAGGTGAGAGGCGTTTCCCTCCCTAGCAGTCCAGCGCGGCTGTCGGGGCGGAGGAGGTAGCAGGGCCTGTCTTGGAAAGCGGGGGCCAGGCCCTCTCCCTGCAGGGAGCTACAGGTGGAGGAAGGACAGGGCAGGGGGCTGGGGAGCAGTCAGGTGTGGCTGCACGCCCGCTCTGGGGGCAGAAAAGAGGGGTCTTTTCTCCCCAAATATCCCTCCAGAAGCTGTTTCATTTCCTCCAGAGAAGCCGCCTGCTGCTCAGACAGGTAGTCCTTCCAGACTGCATGGGCATCGTCCTGTCTAGCTCCCGGGGCGCAGCCCTGCAGCTCTGGGGTGGAAACGGTTCCCGGTACCCGAGCGCCCCAGCAGACTCAAACTTCTGTGGGAGCACCTCCCCCATCCCCAGCAACTCCTCCAAAGCAGCAGCCCTTTGCCCCCCACAATCAGAGGTGTTAGGAGCTCGCATCTGATGGGGGGCCCCACGGGAAGGAAGAGGGAGTAGGGGTTCGGTAGGAACCAGAGGGAGCACGAGCCGGAGCACGCTTAAAAACCATTCCGGATCCAGAGATGGACTCAGACATGTTTTATTATCATCGTATACAGTGTACATAAATCTTCAACTTGTATTTGTTTGGGTTCAGGTATAACATAGCATGATAAAAATCAAAGCACTGGTCCTCTGAAATAAAGCAGGCAATCACCATTCAATAAACACACTTGATTTATTTTGTATAAAAGGGTTAAGTTTACAACCAAACTTTTATAAAAAGTTCAGCGTGAGTAAGGACATCATGACACTCTGCAGGCAGAAACAGACATCCCTGCCACTGTACAGGACTCCAATGAAAGAGTTCACAAGGTCTCGCTCCATAGGCATAGATTTATATAAATACACACACAGCATTCAGTAGGCTTGCGTCAAAAAGGCAATTTCTGACCAAAAGACTCATGTAAGTGACTGAACACTGGATCCTTCCGGAAGTCACGCTCCACCTTTGAGAAAAGGCAAAGTCTGCTTACGTGGGGTAATTCCTTGTGATGTTGCCGGGTTCGCTCCCCGTGGTGGGAAGAGTATATAAAGAAAACCTTCCAGCTGCGGAAAGGGCATTTAAAAGTCTTTTTTCATAAATAACTAAGATCACAGTCCGGGGCAGAGGACAGCGGGGGGCAGGGGGTGGCCACCCTCAATGTCCCTTCCATGTTTTTAAAAAGGTCCATCCAACTCGCTGTCCTCCTGGTGAAATGGTCAAAAATAAGTTCAGCGCCTTAGAAAGCGCCCGCGGGTTTGCTGTTGTGCAAAGGAGGAAAAACAGCCAGGACACCTGCCACAGAGCGGGAGAGCCGGGTTAGGAGCAGCAGCCCCGGGCGGGCGGGCGGGCGGCCCGGGGGAGCCGCGGGGCTGAGCCCTTAGCCCCGCACTCCGCGATCGGCCGAGCCCCGACCAGGGCACAGCCCCGCGGCCCCCTCGGCGCAGACGGGGCACGAAGACAGCGGAGACGCGGGCGACTTCGCCCCGGCCAGGCCTCCGGCGGGCGCTCCGGGGCCAGCCCGTGCCCAGCGCCGGCCGGATCGCGAGCAGCCCCCGGGGGCCGGCGGGGCGCGCGGGCCACGGCGCAGGGGCCGGGGCTCGGGGAGGGGGACCCCGCGGAATTGGCGGCGATGAGATGAACTGCGGGGAGCTCGGCGCGCTCGGCAGCGAGCGGAGCGGGGCGCCGGGGAGGCACAGCGCCCGGAGGCCGCCTGGGGGGCGCCGCTGGCCCCCGGGGTTTGGAGAGCCCCGCGCGCCGCGCCCGGGGGAGACCCAGCCCGGGGCGCCCGAACTCACCGCGCGCTCAGCCGCAGAGCGCCTTGCTGTCGCCGGGCAGCAGCTCGGAGGGGAACTCGGCCGCCTGCAGGGGAGACGCGCGTGAGACCCCGCGGCCCGGCCGCTGCTCGTCCCTCCGCGCGCGGGCGCGCTGACCGCGGCCGGACCCCGCCGTCCGGGCGCAGCGGCTCGGGACTCGCCGGCGGCCTCTCGCGCGGCTCCGTCCACCGCGGCGCGGGCGAAAACAAAGTTCACGGCCGAGCGGCGAGTCCGCGCGCAGCCGCCCGCCCGAGGAGCCGCCCCGGGACCTGCCCGCCCCGGGACCCGCCCGAGGAGCCGCCCCGGGACCCGCCCGAGGAGCCGCCCGCCCCGGCACCCGCCCGGGACCGCCCGCCGGGGCCGCGGGCACCTGCAGGGACAGGACGCTGATGTCCGTGTTGAGCGTGGTCAGCGGCGGCCGCGCCGCGGGGCTCTGCGCGGGCCGCTGGGGGTGCAGGCCGGCGATGGCGGGGTGCGCGTCCAGCGCGAGCTGCAGGTCCAGGATGTAGTCGATGACGTGCTGCAGGATCTCCATCCTGCTCACCTTCCTGTCCTGCGGGATGCTGGGCACCAGCTCCTTGAGCTTGGAGTAGCAGTCGTTCATGTTGTACAGCAGGCGCAGCGCGTCGTCGGCCGGCGCCTTGGCCCGGGACGCGCCCCGGCCGCGGTCCGCGAGGCCGCCCTTGCGCGCGGGCCGCGCGGGGCTGCCGGCCTTCATGCTGGGGGCCGGGCGCGCTGCCCGGGCTCGGCCGCGCCTGCGGGGCTCGCTGCGCGGGCGCGGGCTGGACGCGGAGTGCGGCGCGCGGCGCCGAGGGGCGGCTTTTATGCGCCCTCGCCGGGGCCCCGCGGCCCGGCGTCCCCGCGCCCCCATTGGCGGAGCGCGGCCGTCCGTCAGGCCGGGCGGGCGCCCCCATTGGCCGGCGCGGGCGCGGGGCGAGCGCTCGGTCCTTCCGCGTTCGCAGCCAATCCCCGCGGGGGGGGCGGGCGGCGCGGCCCAGCTGGGGCGGTAAATAGAGAACAGCGCGCGGGCCGGGGGCGCGGGCCGGGGGCGCGGGGGCGCGGGCCGGGGGCGCGGGCGCGGGGGAGTGGGGGGCCGGGGCGCAGGGTCCCCGGCGGCGGCGGCGGCGGCGGCCCGGGACGGGGACCCGGGCGTCCGAGGGCGCCCCCGAGTTCCCGCTCCCCTGGCGCCACGGGACCCCCGGCCGGCCCGCGCCCCCGCGCCCCGCGCGCCCCGCGGCTGTGGGGAGGACGAGGAACGCGGTTCAGAAGACAGTGAAACGCGCACGAGTTGCCTCGGGAAAGGGCCGTCCGAGGACCGGCGGGCCCCGCGCGGGGGAGCCGCGGCCCGGGCGGGGGTGTCGGGGCGCGGGGGGCGCGGGGGGCGGCGCGGCCCACTCCGCGCGGGGGCGCTGGCCGGGCCCCTGCCGCCCGGGGCCGGTCGCCGCGGAGCTCGGGACAGGCCTGCTCCAAGGTCCTGCCCCAGCGGGCGAGGCGGTCTGACGACTATTAATCGGGAATCATTAGGGGATTTGCACATCGAGGCCGCGTTTGCAGGCGCTGCCCTTGAGGAGCCCGGGCCGGCGCCCTTGGGTGCCGGCGGCGCGGCGGTGAGATTAATTGTGCGCAGACCCTGGTTCCTGCCCGCGCAGGCCGGCGCGCTGCGCGTTCAAAGCTTGGTGACCGGCCGGTGGTCCAGGCCGGCGACCGCGTCTTCATGCTTCTTTAAAAAATGTCAACGACAAGGTTTGACATGTTTTTGCACAAGTGTTGATGCAGCTTCTTCGGCCTTTGTCCCCTCCCGCCCCCTTTTTTTTTTTTTTTTTTTTTTTCTCTAAATAGTCGAGATCTCAGTCCTGGGGTCCTAATTTTGAAAAGCTGTTTACTCACAGACTTCCCCGCGCACTCACACACCGCTCCCGCTTAGCTGAGGACCGCGGCGAATGAGCTGCATGTTTTGAAAATCAGTTATCCAGAGCTCAATAAACCAGAACATCCCAGAAAGCAAGAGGTTTCTAAGTGCCTTGCCGTCCCGTCCTTTCTGTCCTCGCCCCCACCCCCTTTGCGTGTAAGAGAGAGCGAGGGGGCAGAGCTGGGGAGGCAGCAAAGTTCAATAATGGGCAAGCACTTTTCTCCTGCAATTAATGATTAATTTCTCAGCGGGTGGGCCGGCCCGTCCCGGACAGGCCTCCAGCCAGGTGCCTGCCCCGGGCCTCGCTTTGGGAGGCCGAGCTGGAGGGGAGGCGGCGGCTGTCACCGTCAGGAAACGCCGCCACTGCCGACTGGAGGGTGGACGTGGAGGTTTCCTGTCCAGCCGGGAAACCTGCTGGGGACCTTCGGGCCGGGCCACGCCGCTGCCACTTGGTTTCTGCACAGCCTCGCCTCTGATATTAAGTCTGGAAATGATTTAATACCCGAGTCCCCCCCAGTTCGAGCCTTTTGATGTACTTTGTGTGCATGTGTTTCTGTCACATACGTGCCACAGTGGAACAGATTTTGTTTTGACACTATTTTGGTTCATGATGTTATACTTTGACTATTTTACAATAATAGCCAATGTAAACAAACATCTTTGGGATTTTCAAATTATTACTTGTGATTCTTGGACATTGCAGCTCTGCGATACTGACGCATTCCTCGCTTTTTCCAAGGACACCGTATGTTAACATCCGTGCCAGCCTCGTTATCCCCACAGCCGGGCGCTGGGCTGGCTCGTAATGAGCCTGGCGCGGTGCGACTTTACACACTTGCAAGTGGATGAAGGCAGAGCCTTCTCCCAGGATCGTTTTTGGACCCTGATGGAGTAAAATGGCTAAATATGGTGAAAGTTTGCTGGCGTTTCTCTCTTTAGCGGCCATGTCAGAGTCCAGTGCGCCTGGTGGTGATGAATTCGATGCACTTGGCACGCTACCAGCTCCACATTCATTTAAAGATCATTTTAAGGGGATTACGAGGCTGTATAAGTTAATCATTAAGAAGGGGCCTGAGTGTGTGCGTCTCAGCAAGCCCAGTGCGAAATCGCCCTGAAAACCCCATTTTCGTGGGGAAAGAGCGATCGGAGCCTTTCCAGGGCTGGTTCCGCGCCTTTAAAAAAATCGGTCCGCTGGAGTCTCAGGGGGGTTTGCATGAGCGGCCTCCAAAGTTCCGATGGGCCCAGCTGCCCGGAGGGCCCAGGGTTTGCAGACCCGCGGGCGGCGGGAGGGTGTGAAGGGCGCCGGCGTGGGGGGGGTGGCCACGGGGGCCTCGGGACCTGCCCCCGGGACGCCCCCGTCCCCGCGCCCCCAGCTCGGCTACAGCTCTGCGCCCGCCCTGGCGGCTCCCGGACCCGGCTCCGGGGCTCGCTCCTCCGCGCGCAGGGCCAGCCCAGGCTCGGCCGGCGGCCCGGGCGGTCCGGCCCGGCTGTGCGGAGCGGCCGCTCCGGGGGGCGCCGGGGCGCGCGGCGGCGGGGTGGGGGCCTCCTGGCCCGCCCTGCCCCGGCGCGCTCGCCTTTCTTGCCGGGTTTTGTTCCCACAGCTGCGTCCGAGCCGCCGCGACCCCCGCGCGCGCCCTGACAGGTGATGAATGGGCGGCGGCGGGCCGGGCCGGGCCGCGGCGGGCCGGAGCCGCAGCCCCGAGCAGACTCTCTGGCGCCAGCGCGAGGCGCCGCCCCTTCAGCCGCCGGCGGGCCTGTCCTCGCGGCGCCGCTCAGGCGGCTGCCATGGCAACCGCGCCGGCACCCAGCGCGCGCCCGGCCGGCCGGCCTCGCGCCCCGCGCCCCTGCCCGCCGCGCGCGCTGGGCTTCGGGCGGCTCGGGCGGGGCGGCTCGGGCGGGACCGGGGCCGGGGCCGAGACGGCGGCGCGGGAGGGGAAGCGCCGCGGGAGGCTAGTGGGGGCCCGGGGTTGCCAAGCAAAAGGTTTGGCTCTTCCCCGTGGTTGCAACCCCGGCGCCCGGGCGCGGCGGCGCCGTCTCAGCGGAGGCCGGGCTGGTGCCTCTGGCCCCGCTGACCCGACCCGCGCGGACCCGGGAGGACCCCGGCCCGGCCCGCCCCGCCCCGCCGAGGCCGGCCTCCGCCTGGGAAGCCTGGGAGGAGGCGCTCGGAGCCGGCAGACTGTTCCAGAACCCGCGCCCCGCCCCGCCCCGGGGAGGCGCGCCCCGCGCCCGCGCCCCGCCCCGCGCCCCGCGCCCCGCGCCCCGCCCCGCGCCCCGCGCCCCGCGCCCGCGCGCCCCGCGCCCCGCGCCCCCTGGAGCCGCGTGCTCGGCGGAGGAGGTCCAGGGCCCCAAACTTCCAAGGCAGCCGCGCGCGCCGACGCCGCCCGCTCCCTCGGGGAAAGCTCCCTTAGGAACCCGGGGCCGGCGCTCCCGGCGCCTCCGACCCCGGCCCGGCCCTCGGGGCGCGCGGCTGCAGCTCCGGGCTGGCCGCCCGCGGGGGTGGCCCGGCCGGGCGCGGGGCGCGGCGCCTGTCGGCCGCCGGGCTCCCCGGAGCGCGTGTGGTTTTCGAGGAAACGGCATCTGGATTACATAAGGACTCGAGTTTTCGCTTTACTTGTTTATTTAATACCTTGGCAGGAGGGAGCCCCGACGCTGAAACCGGATAACCCGGCTCGGGTCTGGGGCGCCTCCGACGAGGGGCCGCGGGGGAGGGAAGCGCGCAGAGCCGCGGGACGCGAACGGGGGTGTGTGTCCTCCTCGGGGTGTCTTGGAGGCCCCGCCGGGCCTCCCCCCTCGCCGGGCGCGAGGAGGCCTGGAGACTACCCGGGCGCCCGCAGCTGCCCGCGCGGGGCTGGCGCCGCCCGAGGCTCGCGTGCCGGGGTCCGGCCCCGCGGGGAGACCTGGTGACGCGGGACCCCCGGCCGCCGCACCCCGCGCCCCCGGCGGGCTGGTCGGGGTCCCCCGCTCGCCCGTCTCGCAAGGCGGCACCCAAAGCGAACCCCGAGGCCGCGGCCCGCGAGGCCCCCACGAGAAAGACCTTGTGCGCCTTCCCGCGCGCGCGCCTGGGGGCCGGAGCCACGTGTGCGCGCTGCGCCCCGCTGCGCCCCGGGCCCGCGACCCCGGTGGGGGAGCCCGCCCGCCGGCCTGGAGGACAGGGCCCCCCCCCCCCCCCCCCCCCCGCCCCGCGGACAGCTCGGAACACCGCCCCCTCGACGGAGGACAGACTTACTCCCCCACCCCGTTTTCACGTCCTTGCAGAAAAGGGACAATTCACAGATCTCCTGGCCAGCTGAGGGGCCTCCCCCAGGGCTCTGAAAGCCCCAGCGCGGCACCACCTGTCACGTGCCCTGGGGAGGGCGCAGGACCCGGGGCAGATCCTCAGGGAGTTAGTGTTGGGGACCCCGGGAACTTCTGAGACGTGCAAGGTCTCCTGAAGCGACCCCTGGCCACCGAGGTCTGACATGCCTGCGGGCCGCCTTCTTCCGGGGCTGATGCCCCTCTGATGCCCAGGGGCTCGTGGTTCTATGCCAGGCCACCTCAATGGGACCCTAGAGGAGCGGCCTGTGACTAGGTGGTGTGCTTTGTTTTAGGCTCACCTGCCTTTCCAGAGCCCGGGGAGAGCACCCAGGCACTGCGTTGGGAACACGTGGCCTCTTTAAGGGAAGTTCAACACTGGCTTGGGGGAAGAACAGCCCCTTTCAAGCCCTTCACTGCCGCCGGGTTGCTCTTCACCTTGACCCCATGAATCAGAGAAAGCACGTGCTGCCCCCATTTTACAGAAAGAGAAACTGAGACACCGATGAGCAGCAGCC